ATTGGATTTAATTGTTACTTTAAAGATAAACAGTAAAAAAATAGCTCGTAATAATAATAATAATAATAATAAAAATAATGATGATAATAATAAAAAAAAAAAAAAAACGAATAAAGGAAAAGTAAGAAATTTTACACTATATCAGTTTTTACAAAATTAATTTCTAATTTATTATAATTAAAAAACGAACAATTTTAGTAATATGAAATTTTCATTTAATATTTATGGTATCATTTTGTATACTCATATGGTTTAATTTTAAAAGTAAATATTTTGACTATTTTTGAGCTATAGATGTGAATAAAAAATTATTTGCTGGGTTAAAATTTTACACAAGATCTCATCTAAGTTTTTTTTAATATAATTTTTTTTTTTGCATTTGGAGTCAATATTTTTACAAAATTATTAAAATTAAAAATACCTCGTGGAAATTTTTTTATGAATTATTCAATTTTTATAGTTCTAGTTTAAAGTTTAGTTCAATTTTTCTCAAAAATAGTTCATATAGTAACTAAATATTATACCAACGTAATTATTTTTTATAAATAGTTGAAATTTAAATTACATAATAAAGTAAATTAAATAGTCTTTATAATGGTTTTTTAATGCATATAAAATATATATATATGAAATATACTTAGTAGTGAATAGTGATATAGGCTGACAGATCATCTCTTCTCAAAATTTTCCTTATTATACAGTAGTGAATTCTACACCTAATGTACAACAGAGCCGTATTCATTCGCCTACCTTTTTATTTTATTTTTAGTATTACAGTTGCTTAATTTAATTTTTACTAAATATATTGGTATTTCTTAATATTATTAATATTTTATAATAAAAATGTGTATTTATATCATGTTTTATTACTGTTGTTATTAATTTTTATTAAATTTCAGTTAATTGTAAAAAAATGTTAATATATTCATGGTATTAATAAGTATTGTTTATAATTGATATTTATATTTTTTAAATTTCATTGTGTATAGTAAAGTTCATAATTTACATAAAAGTTTCATTTTCCTATTAATAATGTTTTTGAAATAATGAATATATTTAATCAAAATACCAATAAGATCTAAACCACTATCAAAAACCACCTCTAAAATTGAAAATTAAAGCATTTTTACTGCCTCAAGAAGTAACGAAAAATGGTATCAATAATAATGAAAAAAAAAACATACACATATCATTGTAAAATCAATACATTCATCGCTTCATTTCATTCTTCTGAAATTAAAGGGGTAATGTAGTTTAAAATTCCGTTATGCATATTTTGTTATCTGCATAATGGTTCGTGAAAATTGTATATAATATTTAGTATTTTATTCATAAAAAAAAAAAAAATTGGTAATGATAATAATAACAATTTCTTCGCATATTATTCGTTATTATTTTAGTGTTCAGTTTATATAACGTTTAACCAAACAGACTATATTTTTGTTATGTTTGGCAAACAATCGGATTAAACTTTTGAAATATTTATTACTGCAGTTGAAGAACTCGTAATTTGTTTACAACTCCCACGGCCCAAGTTGAAATTTAACTGTCCTATTTCCCCCTTGGTGGTTTTCTATATCAGCGTTATATAATTTTATAGAATTTTTCATTTATTAAGTATAAAAACAATTTTTTATTTTAATAAATATTTTGTTATGTTTATATTGTACATAAATTATAACATTTTGTAATTTAATAGAAAACTTAACGGTATTGTAAAACAGAATATATATGTAAGAATATTCCTAATTTTATTTTTAGCGTTTCTACTTTTGAAACAAAAAATTACCTCTTGATAATTGGCTGTTAATAGTTGTTAAATAGTATAGGATAACTCGTGCTCTTGAATAATTCTGCGTAGATATTTTATTGCTTTTTAAATAAAAAGAGCTTAAAAAATTTGCATCATCTTAAATTTTCTTTCATAAACTCGATTATAATATTGTATAATACATAGCCTCAATATTATACATATAATATATCAGCAGGATCAAATGTCATCTTATTAGTAGATAAGAAATAGTCGCTGTAAAGTTGGTGGTATATGCGTTTATGTGTATGATGATTTAATTCGTATTTATTGATGTTAAGTGCATAATATTAATTTAGTGTGCACTTAATTAATTTTTTTATTAAACCGATATTTAATCGATTCTATTAGTGGTTATTATTGCGTCGTATCAATATTATGTATATATATTTTAATTGTTCTTGTATATTTAGATATGTAAATCATGAAATTGTATATAATAATGTATCATATAATTTAGCCATGGAATGCTATCGAAGTGCCATTGCATCTATGCATACAATTTATATTATAGGTATAATATAATAATACCTTTTATTTTTTTTTTAAATAATGTAAACGCATTTGGATTAGATAATAATTTTACAAGTTAATAAAATGTAATGAACATGAAAATTTGTTTATTCATATACTAACGTTGTTTAAATGTACGGATTTAACCGTTATTGTTATACCTATATACGAAGACGATATTAAATTGATTCTAGTTTCATTCAATTATAAGTATATATTTAATTATATATTATATTATACGATATACTAATCGAATATTAAGAGAATCTTTCATTATTTGTATATGCAACAAATGTATATATAATTGTGCAGCTGGATCGGCTTGTATTAAAATCGGCGAAAATTCCGATGAATATAATGCTGCGTAGCCTGGTATTCATTCACATGTATTAGATATTCGTGTGTCAGCAGCTAGCTACATGCGTATACTTTATTTATTTGATAATATGTATAAGTATATAAGTTGTGTATAAAAAAAAAATGCATTCTAGCGTTGCTCTATATCTTCTCGTCATGTAGTAATTTATTTTATTTTATATACGATATCCTTTTTTGTACAGTTTTATGTTGTTGTATAATGTATATACACGAACATGATATAATAATATAATATAATAATATATGTTACGTGAGCGTTATGTATTATAGTATAGGATGCTATCGTTGCAAACGTTCATGATTTTGCTGCACAGGTGTTCAGTGTGTAGCTCGTAACTACTATCTAGAATGTAGGTCCTACATTATATGTATATATATTTATGCACTTGACTCGTTTTAAAATCCCTTTGACTACATAAAACCGTATTTGTTTCAACCTGATGAACATTGTCATTATTATATTAATATTATTAATATATACTTTCTAGTATTATATCCCTTCGTTATGTACTGTACATAATTTCACCTGATGCTTGTGGCGTATTAAGTAATGTCATCTGCGATCTAAAAGTCCGTATGCGACGTATTCCATTAATATTTATATATTCTATTTCAGTTAGTGTACTGTAATTTATAAGCCTCTAGTAGCTTTTCTAGCATTACTATAGACAAGAGATAAAATGTTGACTGGCACCTTTACAAATGATCAATGTTTATTTTCATAGTTTTTGCTTTTTACAATGTATAATATATATTAGTTTATACATTGTATATATATAATTCCTCTATTTAGCCACTGAAATTGACGTGGTATATTATTATATATTTAATAAACAATATACAATTCATAATGTACAATTACAATACTTAAACAAGAGTCAAATATAATTAAAAACTATAGAATAATGTTTTTACATGAGCAAAAAAAAAAATTTTTTATGATTAAATATATTTTTATTTAAGTTTTTAATTTGTTTGTCTTTTTGGGAGATACAGTTTGACAGCCGGATTAAAAATAATGGGATTTTTTTGAGTATTCTTTTTACTTATCCCCTACAAAATTATGCCATTACATGTACTGCTGTAAACTCCTAGTGTTGTTCTTGCTGTAAACTGTATTTAGTATTTACCTATATGTATCTATTTTATTATAACAGTGTTATTCTTATGCAACTGAAGAGTTTTGGTAGTAGCTAAATTTATTTTCATAAAAATCCGTTCTTAACTACAGTAACGTATTTTTTTTAATAATTTTTTTATTTTTATATTAATTTAATAAGATATTCTTAGCCTATAAGGCTATCTATATATATGGATAATCAGTAACATTTATTTTTGACTATTTTAACATGATAATAATTATAAATAGTAATAATAGCGATAATAACAATAGTAATAAGTTAAGGTTGGTCAGACATGCGGATGAAGAATATAATTACATCATAGTTTAATATTTACTTAATAATAATTAACGAATAAGGTCATGCGGTCGATCGTGTTTTAGACGTTTTTGAGGTGGTGGACGTATGTGTAAATTGAAGTGTAGTGAGCCAGTTGATTTGTGGAGTAAACTATGGAAATTTGCAGTAAGGGCTTTTAAATGATCTTGAATTTTAATGATTTAGAAGTCTTTATGTAGATTTTCGTTACGTATGAACCATGGTGCGTTTGTTATTATTCTTATTATTTTGTTTTGGAAAATTTGTATTTTTCTTAAGTATATTGTTGAATAATTACCCCAGATAGGGCAGGTGTAGGTAATTAGTGAGCGTAATAATTGCTAAACAGTAACATATAAAAGCGTAATTTTTCCGACTTCCTCTGCAACCTTTAGTTTTGTTAAGGGTTGCTTATAATAGAGGTAAAATTAATGTAGGTATTCTATGTTTATAGTTTTGAAATTCTTATTTTAGGATAGGTACTTATTGGAAAACTACTGGAAAATTATTTGTCTAAAGCCGTTATCAATTTTTACAAAATAACCAGTAAATAATAAATCATAATTGTTATATTTATACTAATTTTATGTATTATATATATAAAATGATAAGTAACTTAATTTACTTCTGAAACTTCTAAATATATAAGGAAATGTTTGATCTGACTACAAGGCTTGAGGCTAATAACCATTTCTGTTGAAGTTTAAAATATATATAATAATAATAATAAAAAAAAAAAAAAATGGACTTGAATACCTAATTAACTTAAATACATGATAACATTGTGTAATGAGATTTAGGTTTCTATTTTTTTTATTTTGTTTTCACTATTGACTTTAATATATGGTTTTTGTTTACAGAACTCTGGCGTGGAGATGACTTGGGTGATCGCAGACTTTACGGCAACGGCCGCCGGCCAGGTGACCGTTTCCAAAGGTCAGCAGGTAGAGCTCCTAGACTATTGCGGCGGTACGAGCGAAATGGTTTTAGTGCGCGTACCGTCCGACTGCACCGAAGGAATGGTGCCACATATCGTACTTAAGCAACCACCGTCACTTAAACAACCACCGTCACTCAAGTCACCGCAGGCGACAGGTATGAAAAACCACTATATTATGACAGATATAATATTAATTATGTATATCTATAGTATAGATTCTATACAATATGAAAAGTTGTGATGAGAAGTAGTTATAAAATGTGAAAGTTATTTGGTAGGTTAAACAAATTTACCGGGATGCTATTTTAATAATAAATTGATACATTTATATCACATATTATAATTAATTTAGGTGTTATGTACTTTAAATATTTTAAAGTAGTGATATTCATACCTACAATAATTTAAATATTTAGGCTTGATAGTTTTTTTAAATGCTCAAGTACCTATAATATTAATTTAAACGTATATGGCTTATCGGTGCATATTTTATGTTAAGCTCCCTATTTATTCATTTTTATAATACCCGTTACTTATGTGTTATATATATATATATTCATACTGAAGTAGGCCTTGTAGTAAGTAACATGATATTTGAACCGTATATGTAATTCGGTTAACGTTTTTTCTTGGCCGGTCTATGTGTAGTGATGAGGACATCATCATTTCCACGACATATTTGAATCACATATTATACCTACGCTATTACGCTATGGTATATACCTACTATATACTATGACTTGTTTTATAACTGACTGATAAGAATACTTATCTATGCTGCACAAGACGTGTATATTATAATACAACATTTAAACAATGACTATGATTTTTATGTATGATAATACATCAAGTTCCATATAGTTTAAGTTCATATATATATATATACATAATTGTATACAATTTATTCAGAATATCGTAAAATTATTGCAATTATTATTATAAATATTTTATACATATTATAATTATTGTTGCTATTCATACAATATAAGTGCTGAAAATATAAATGAGTTTGAAACAGTTGTCGAATAAATCCAAATAAATAAATAAATCCGATTTGTTGAATGATTATCAATAATCATATAACGCTTACTATATTTTTGAGTTACTTCGTATTAATATGTGTTGAGTTTATATTTGTAAATTATAACTAGTGTACAAAGAGGACTTTAACTAAGTATCCATATAACTGATTTAAAATGAACTTAAATCAAATTTATACATTTTAAGTACATAAATATAACGGGCATATTTCGTAATTTATCCTTTACAAATTACAATATCTAATTATTATTTTTAGTTAATATTGTCAAAGTAATATTGACTCATTAAATGCATGATTGCATACCACTAGAAGTTGTTTGTCTTTTTCATTAATAATCAATGTTTTTGTATAAGTGCGAAAAGGCGTTATTAATTAGTAACCACGTATGGTGAATGTTTTTATGAAAAAAAGAAAACAAACATAAAAAGTTTCTACAATGAAATTTAAAATTATTCCCGGACCGGCGCGACCCATGTCCTTTTATCCCATGGATTTTATAATTTTTATTTTTATAGATACCTATCCAAAGAGAATCAAAAATATTAATAATAATTTATTGCTTATATTTTGTAATTTGTTATTTTCACAATATCCGATATCGTATCATCGAGAATTAATAATCATATATTTTCTTACACGAGATTATATTTTAAAAATAAAAATATTTCGTAGTTTAATTTGAAATTACGAAAACAGAAAATCTATTCCAGACTCGAGTATCGTTGCTAATATATAAATATATAAATAACTGTGGTTTATAAGTTCAGTATTTTATTCATCAGTCGTTTTATTAAATAATTCATGAGTCCAAGATTTGTACGTTTTATTATTTTTTTTTAACCTTAAACGTTCATTATTTTACATTTTTTGACATTAAAAATATTTATTATTAGATAATTTTAAAAATAAACTGTTCCCACGTTTTGACTTAAACCGAGTACTAAGTAAGATAATTTTGGAAATCATGCCGTCGTGTATATTCTGCCAAGTTTTTTATTTCAGATTCTTTAGCAAATACGATTGAATATTTTTTTTTTGTGATTTTAATTTATTATCTTATGGCTAATTTGATCGTATTTCATGGTATTCGGCTATCTTATTTATTGTAATAACGCTAAATGTCGCCGCCACATAACTGTGGCAGCGTTAGATTGTTGTGATTTTAAAACCGCAGATTAAATAGAACGGAATTTCTCAGTGTCGTTTACCTAATAGTTTATATTTGTAAACAGTGTGTGTGAATTAAAATTCCAAATTATGTTTCCGATTATAACTTCACATGAGAACTGATAATAACGATTGTCCGTTGTGCAGTGCCCGAGTGCGGTAACTTTAGTATCAAATGTATTCAATAGTTTACGTTTACGTTGTAAATCGATCGAACAAAGGTCGAAAACGCGTTAGCTTTTCGTGTATGAATTGTAATATCAGTTTTAAATATTTTACCCATAAAAAAGTGAATACTTACAGACAGAATGATTTTAATGTTAGCCAGGTGTATCGTGTAAAAGGTAAATTGAATTTTAAATAGTGAAGTTATTGTATCGTCTTATTATTTTTTTCAATAACTGGGTATAGGCAAGTATTTAATTTTTTAGTTTTCGCATGTAGATCGCTTTATTATAATAAATAATAATAATTTATTTTTCTGTCATTAAATAGTTTCGCTTGTTTAAATTTCGTAAATATTTTTTTTTATTAATTAATATATTTCTACATTTTACTAAATGTCTTAAAAACCTCCATGAAAAAATGTCCTCAAGCTTTTCAACTTTCGATATAAATTATATATTTATATCTGTAGAAATATTATCGTTTATTATATAGAATCCGAATTAAAACTTTAAATTTAACTTAATACATTATTTTTCGCTATCAATTTTGTTCCTGCAAGTACGTGTACAGTTATACGTGGAGTACGAAAGAACCGTCATACCCTCTAGTAATTTATGTAAGAGGTTATAGTCTTTTATATACATTTATATACATTTTTATGTCACATTTATTAATCATGCAGTCTGTGCAAACTGTCAAGAAATGAATCTCAATTCTCAATGTGTCACGGTTATAAATACATTCTCAGTCACATACATTGATAATAAGTAACGACATTGATTAACCCGATATTGGGCATCGGCATTGTCACTTGTATGATTCTAGGATAGGATATGATAGATTATAGGTTAGATAGATACAAGTACGTCCTATGTTGACCCCATCCAATCATTGCACAACCAAATTCATATTCAAGTAATATAATGTAGTTTAAAATTGTAGTAAAATCTGCTCTAATTAAAATCGTATTGACTATAAGCTATTGCCACGTTTATTTCTTATCCTAATAGTCAGCAGTATGACGTCGTCGTAAACATAATTGTTCGAGCTCGCCGTATTCCAAGTTCTAATCTTACTCCTGTGATCCATTCTCCTAAGAAGATTTAGTATACTAAATAGTAGTTTACTATTACTAATATATTACACTATTCTCAGACATTCCATGGGGTGCACTAATATTGTATAACGATTCTATGAGTACGATTTTTTTTTGCATAACCCCCGCTGCTGCATAATGTACCTATTATTAAATTTATATTCTATAACTACTGCCCGCACAATGTCTATATATACATGTATATTACGCTAATGATAATTAAAATATTATAACAGTGAACAGTTAGTTATTGAGTATCGGTGGGTGTATTGTTTGTGAATGAATGATAATAATTAATAATAAATAAAATAATATAATGAATGAAAATAATCGGGTAAATATACAATCACGACGATAAGATGAATAAAAAGTTTTACTTAAATTTATTTTTCACTGTCAACCTGTGTTGTTGCAACAGGAGTAAAATATAAAATTGCCTAAATCGTATTTTTGAAATGTCGAAATTAAACTATTTAACTTGCACTACTGCCAATATTAAATATTGTTATAGTAAAACTAATAAAGACGAAATGTTCAATGTTAAATCTTCACTTTGTACTCAAAATTTAATATGAAATTTAATTTTTTTATTTTATTTATAATATTCGGTATTGAATCTATGTAGATATGACATCGCTGCATCTTGTATAGAATTGATATGGGGGAGGACCTTATAAGCCGGCTTATAAAATGTGTCGCATCACTGCCGTGGTACTTGAATGCACTACATTATAATATGTATTCAGTATCGTTACTTCAGTAACTAGGGCACACTTACCGATTTTGGTAAGCTTTGGCGTAGTGAACGTTTGAACGAGTGAAAGGATTCTACGAAGGGGTAAATTTCTGAATAAAAGATTGTGACAAATGTAGAAGTTGACACTGTTGACAGTCACTACTACCCTCAACGAGAAAAAAAAGTGTATAGTTGCGAGATTCGTGGACTCTTAAACTTTTCATAGAAGTAAAATGTTTAACATTTTATCCTGACCTTCGTAAATATTATAGTGGTTAAATTTTTATGTTACGTACCTAAATATTTTAATATTTTATCTAAAAACAGCAATAATAATATTGTGTCGTTTATTTTTATGATTTTCGATCGTTAACTTTAACCGCGCTAACCGAATTATAATAACAGTGCGTTTTATAGATAATAATTTATTTTGTACACACACACACATAAAATAGAATACGGTTTGCACAACCATCTCTATTCCAATACCAATACTACTGATATTTCTGAAAGTAAGAGGTCGTTTACGCGAAGTACATAAATAACATTATTATCTTTACAGTATCTGTTTCGTGTAAAAAAATATACATACTCCATATAATTGCGTTAGTCAAACTTATCTAAATTTTTGTGTAGTATTAATAGTATTGGTCCTATTAAAACTGATTCCAGCAAATTTTACACCTTTGAAGATCGATGTCGGTGTAAAATTTTATAGTATGATAAATATATTGAAATTGTAATATTTTTACATAGTAATAACCTAATAACTCATTTAATTAAAATATCAATAAAAAACTAGTTCTGCTGAATGAAATTTTGTCATTTATTGCCTGAGGTCAAAAAAATAACACGAATACATAATGCGTCGATTTGAGTCCTATCTAATAGTAGTTATAATTTTCTTCTTCTTCTCAATAGCTTAGCGGTCCATGTAGCCATGTAG